ACCTTCATTTGTGAGCCACTGGCTCCCGTGCTGTTCCATCCCATCAGGATGTGTTTTTCCAGCCCCCAGCAGGGCTCACCAGCGGGCAGCACTGCGAGAGAAGAGGCAGCTCTGCCTGCTCCTCCTCCGTCGGTACGAGGGAAAACCTGACCAGAGTGGGCAGGCAGTGAACTCCCCGGGCACCACCAGCGACGCGCAGGAAGAAGGCGTTTAGCTTAGAACAACCTGACTTTATTGGTGCAAACATTAGAACTCTAGTGACTGGGAATATTCACAGGGACTCGGCGGCAGCTGCGGGAGGTGACGGGTGACCGCAGCCAGTGACCCTGCGGCCCTACGCACCCCTCCGGCGGCGTCCCCCTCCTGCAGCTTACTCTTCGTGGATGTTGAAAAGCTTTGCTACTTCGTTGAGATCATCGTGCTCCTCCCCGTCTTTGATGATCTGAAGGGAGGAAGAATGGGTTAAACCCTGCACGTGCTACGAGCAGCCAGCGCCGCGGGACCGCGCCTGGTCACTGGCCAACGCGATGGATTTCTCAGACTCTCTGAAGCTCTGCTGATGCCAGCTCACAACCGAGGCAGCCCCAGCACGGCAGCGGGACTCCCTACGGCCACACTTAGGTGAGAGCCTTTAAGGCAGCATCATCTGCCTACGGGAATGGCTGGAGTTAAATCAGCCTCGCTGTCCCCGTAGGGTTTCTTCCTGACATCCGGGTTTCCCTTTACGCTGGGGAGAACAAGGATCGTCAAAAAGTGATTCATCTCAACCCTGGGAAGATGAGCCTGTCTCTGCATTGACTTAGAGGAGCCAGTTTAAGTGGCTTAAACTTGCAAACGTGTCTTTCGGACCACGAGACTAAAGAGGCCAAGGATCCCCTGCGTGCTGGGCTCTGGGGATTAGAGGGAGGGAGGAAGGGAAGGATCTCTCTTTCCTGGGAACAGGAGAAGTAACAGGTTTAAAACTGCACCATGAAAGCTTCAGATTAGATACCAGCAGAAACTTTCAAAGGTTCCTTTTGGGATAGATCGCCTGGGATCATGTGGAACTGCTCTCACACTTCAAAGTCCTGCCGTTCTCCCCAGGTGTTAAAAAGTGACCCCGGCAGAGCTGATCGTACCTGGGGGATGGAGACAGGCCAAGGACCTGCTCAGGGCTGCCTCCAGCCCTGGCTTTTTGGGGATCTCAGACGTGACACTGGATGTTTGAGACTTGTACATTAGACAAAGTAGCGCAAAAATAGGACATTCGGCTCTGCTGCTCAGTCGCACGAGATTCTGGCCTGTACTTACTACAGACCTGACACTTCAGCCGCACAAAGGCAACGCTTGAAGCGTAAACCTGATTCAAGTTCTTTCTGTGAGGATTTGGAACAAATATGCAGAAAAGCACAAGGACGTCTCCCATAATTCACCCGAGACAGCGGTACCGCCGGGTATCGCAGAGCTCTGCTCCAGACAGCATCTGCATTTATTTTTCCTCATTTTAGATTAGTGGATTGATTTTTCCACAAGAAAATCCCCGACCTAAGCAAGGCTCACCGTTCAGCGTACACGTCCTGCACTGACCTTTCGAGCAATAGGCATCCTGTTGAAGATGTTCCATAACACGATTCCCACCACAACTTTATCCCTGAGGTAGAAAATGACGCCTTTGCCATAATCTTCTCCTTGCTTTGGGACTTGAGGCGTTGGTGAAGAGCTTGGGGAAATGTGAACTTCTGAGGCTTCCGCTTCCGTTTCGCTCTCCGATCGAATGCCCGTCCCTGTCGGGAAGACACGAGACGTCAGACATCCAGTGCAGGAAAAGGGCAGCAGCTCTCTGCTTGTGACGGTGAAAGCAGACAAGAGCCGCGTTCTGCGAGAGGCCGGGGTGTCTTCCTTCGAGTTGCTCCAGCAAAAGTTAAGTTTCACTAACACGAGAATGAAGCAATCCTGGCCTGAAACGTAACACTGACAATTCCCAGCTTCCATCACCGAATGCCACCGACAGAGCGACCTGCTCAGACCCCCACAATCTCCTCTGTGCAAAGCCTGACCACGTTACTGCTTCGGAGGGAATTAAGCTTCAGCAGAGGAAAAAAGTTTTAATTTTGGTAACTGAGTTACGTGATGCCTTCTTGGAGGAACGTTAGGTTGTCATCACAGTTTAATACCAAACCCAGCGTTTAACGCTCGGTCTAGAACAGAAGCAAGTAGGCTGATGCCTCCTAGTGCGGAGACCAGGCTGGCTCCAAGGCGCAAACTCCCCTGCACGCGCCCGGCCGCCCCGTACCCGACTGCTCCGTCGCGCTCTTGGGCGTGTCTTTCGCTGTGGCTTTAGCAAAGACCCCGACGGTCGGCAAGCTGCTGTCCACAAGGCCAATGGCTTCGTACCCCACGTTGGGACCCAGGTCGCTCCTAGGAATGAAGTGGGAGAAAAAAAAATAAAAATCACGTGTGGCATTGAGGCAAATGCGAGGTAATTCCACCCAGCCGCAAATCCCCCAAGGGCAGCGTGGGGCCAGAGCGACGCGGGTCCAGGTGGGACGGGGAGTCAAGACACCGCAAGGCCATCGTTTCCAGAAGAAACCAAGTCAGAAATGCCAAAAGAAGACATCGACGTTACCAGAACATGGACTGGTGCCAGTAGGGCTTCGCAGCTCCGGTCATGTTTTCCCCAGCCAGCCTTCCACTCACGACGGCGTGGTCGTGGTGCTCTACGCGTCTCCTGCCAAGCTTGATGTCGTAGAAGCAGGCAGCATCCCCTGCCTTAAAAAGAATCGTTCAGTGAGGACTAACTCCAACATCAAAAGCTGAAATTAATGCACCAACAGAAAAAGGCATCGGGAAGAGAACAAACTGGAAGGATGAGCTGAGTTTTTCTGACAAACCCCAAACACTACTGCTACCTTATCCTGCTCCCCAGGCTACACGAGTCCCAATTCCTCCATATTTTTCACCGGTCCTCGGCAAAATAAGACGGCACAAGGTACGTTTTTCCAGAGGGATCAAAGTCTCGACTCCCACCAAAGGGACGCTTACGTAACGGAGTAATCCGTGCTATCTTTAGGTTACCCCAACTCCTTTTACACAGCATAAATATTCAAAAACTCGCGCAGTCGTTACCACAGCAACGACGCATGCTGCGCTGCACGAGCCCGCTCCGGGGCCGCCAGCCGGAGCTGCGCCACAGCTGCTCTTGTTACCGGCTGCTTTTTGGCCCATCACCCCAGGGAGGTGCCCCAGCCCCCCTAACTCTGTTCCCATCAGGACCAGCAGCTGGGAAACTCCCCGGCACGTACTCACCACCCAGATGTTGGAGCGCGCCTGCAGCTCCGCGTTCACTCTGAACCCCCCGAAGTCAGAGTCTACCTCCAGCCCGGCCGACTTTGCCAACTCCACGTTGGGCTCCAGCCCCACGGCAGCCACAATGTGATCGGTCTCCACCTGGATCGGGAACTCATAGTTATTGTCTTAATTCTCTCAATGCCCCTGCAAACTTTATCCTCTCCCAGGTTTTACAGCTACCTTCCGGCCATCTTTCAATTTAATCAGCAGCCGGTTGCCAGAGACGGAGACAGACTTGACCACAGCGTTGGGCATCACGTTAACACCCTCTGGAAAGAAACAAAGGGAACAGGACCGCTCGCTCAGGGGCAGGGATTTCGGCTGATTCCGGCACCTTCGGTGCAAACGGACGCAGGCAGAGCAGGGGCCAGGTTAGGAACTGGGAGAGAGACCGCCCCAGCCTTGCTGCAGGGGCCAGCATGGTTCTGAGCGAAGCGTGAGGAGAAAGAAACCCAGCTAAAAAGTTTGAAAGAGGTACTTAAATCTCCATCAAAAGTACGGATCCCATAAGATGACAAGGCCGCGTCCAAAAGAACTCCCCAGGACAGGTTTTCAGGCACTAAGGACGCTCCGTTACCCATCGCTCCAGGAGGGCAGGCAGCTCTCGGAACACAGCTCTGGTTCCAGATCACCCAAGGCTATCAAAGGAACTTGCAGGAAAGAGCTACGCCACGGGCACTGGCCTAACCCCCACCCTGCTGCTGAGGACAAGCGCTCGAGCGCGGCTTCACCTTTTCTGACTTTCTCCGTGGTCCAGTTGCTCAGGTATTCTGGCAAGACTTTGCCCATGTTGCCGTTCTCTGGAAACAGCTGAATCACCTCCAGGCCTCTGGTTCGTGCTGAAAGGGAAGCAAAGAGCAGCTTCTTAGAGCCTGACGGGTAAAGAGCAGCAGCGCAGACGTCGGGACGTGAGCACGTGCTTTCCTGTACACAGGAGCTTGGCAGAAGCTTCCAGAACCAGGAGTTCTGGCTCCCAGGTTTTCCAGAGGAGTCGCCAAGTGACTGCCCGCACGCCCGCACGCTCGAGGGCGACAGGCAGTGCGCTGCTGAGGACAGCGCTTGGTGTTTTGGAGAAAATTTCCCCTACTCAAAAAGCTGCACACGATCGACAGCAAGAATCCAGTTGTTCGCTTCGAAATGGTATGCTCAGCGGGGTTTAGCACTCAGAGAGCAAATGTCTGTGCAGGCAGAGAGTGAAAAAGAAGTTTCTAACATCAGGCTGCTCAGGGTCGGTGTCAGACACTTCTGCCAAGGTGCCAGCAGCAGAGGAACCACCCGCGGGCGCACGCTCACCTCTCCTGCCCAGAGCGCAGGCCAGCTCGCTGCCCAGAAAGCCGCCGCCGATGATCGTGATGGACTTGACTTCTCTTGAAATCTTCTCCAGGTTTTTGAAGTCCTCAATCTGAAAGAAGATTTATTCCCGTTTCAAATATCCTCAGAAAGGTACGGCAGCAGAAGATACTCTTCTCCGGTTTCTCCCTTAGAAATAAGAGCACCTCTTTCCCCAACTTAGAAAGGGAAACACGTTTCTCCTCCCTCCTGCTTGGCTACAGCACCGAAACAACTCTCTGGCTCCCTAACATCTGGGCGAGCTTCCCCCTGCCCGGGCAATCTCAGGTTGCTGTATTTCTCCCTAACTTTCAAGAGCAACTCCAGTGGAATTTCTAGATGCAAACACACCACAGCAACAGGGATGAAGGTGAAGAAATGCCACGAGGGGCACGTGAATATCAGCTTATTAGTTCCCCAGAAGAGGATCTAAGCCAACCCAAGAGCCAGCATGAACCCTCGACTTCACAGCTACTGTTTCAGAGCAGGCTCTGTCCTGCCTGGGGCCAAATGCCAGCCCCTTGCTCGTGTGCTGCAGGCCTGGGGCACACACACCCCCCGACTCGAGCAGCGGCCGAGGCAAGGCTGGCCTGGACCCAAAGCAGGAGGAGAATTAAAAAGTTGGAAGCAGTGGAAGCCTCACGCCAGGACTAGCAGCGCCGAGATTACCTTCCGGAACAGCGTCAGCCGCCGCTGTACGTCCTTCCCTGCTCTCTCGATGGCAGGCAGGTTCCTTGGGGTCCCACCTGAGGGCAAGGCAGGGAGAGAGAGAGAACACGTGACTGCTCTACCTGACACACACTGCAGAAACTTCCCTGTCGGAGAAAAGCCACTGAAACAAAACCCTGACGCAAGACAAAGGACAAAGAGAAAACCCCCAACAACTTACCTGTGGCGATGAGACACTTGTCGTAGGATATCTGGGTGCCGTCGCTGAGCTTCACCGTGCTGCCTCTGACATCCATGTGCACAACCTGAGGGACGGAACAAGCAGCAGAGCTCACGCCTCCCCACACCGCTGGCCGTTGGAATTAAACCGCACAGACTACCGAGAAGCAAACTGGAAGTAAGGTTCTCCTTCCTCTAAGTTTAGGGGGAGGGAGAAGACTAAGTGAGAACTGAGACGACTCCTTTGGCATCTATTACAGGTCAGGCTGATCTTCCCACTTTCAAACCTCGCTCATGGCCTCCTTGAGATTGGCACCGTCCCTGCTTCATCGTAAACACTTCTCCCAAACGCATACGTGTTCTCCTCCTCGTCCAACCCACCACACCACATCTACACACGTCTGGCTTCAGCTTAGAGCAAGGCTCAGCTTGGGAAGAAGAGCTGTGTGATGCTAGAACAGCAGCCAGTGCTGTACCCACCTTCTTGCCACAGAGAACTGCTACTCCACCGTTTTCTACGGAAGGCAGATCACGGACAGGCACGTAGAATGATGGCGGCTGGAAATATATACTGAAAAAAGCCCCGTTATCAAATGGCCACTCACACACCAGCTATTCAGCAATGACACAGAGACAACTGTGTGCATCCGTAAAACCCCCAGAATTCTGATTTATCTGTTTTTAGGCATTAGTGCCTTCACACTGTTGGAAGTTCTCACCCGACACGCTCGCTGCCCGTGACACCTACCTTCTCTCCTTGCCGTTCCACTGTTTGAACCGCAGAGTCTCCGTCACTTTTGGATCATCTGAAAACCAGAGTTCTTTGGAAAGAGGCGGACGCATGTAGGGCAGGGCAGGATCTTCGGACACGATCAGCACCTTGAATCGGTCATCAGACGCATCGGTTGTACCGATGCCAGGCAAATGCCAAAACACGCCGTGGAGGCTCCGCAGCGCACGCAGGACCAGGCTGTCCGCACGGCTCTGCCGCAGAAAGGAGGGAGTCTCTTACCCGGGCACCGGGGTCACGAGCTCGAATGGATCTGGCAGCAGCAAAGGCAGCGGTTCCCCCACCGATGAGCAGGAACGGAACGTGAGACGGGATCTCGGTGGGAGCTGCGGGCGACAGATCAGTCAGCTCGCTGCAAACACGGCCGGCACAACTCTGACGCCTTCCGCACGGAGGCTGCCTGTGGCAGAGTGACCTTCAGGGACCCTCTGCTCCCCT